GTGTGTGTGTGTGTAAGTGTAAGTGTCGAAGTGTAAGTGTTCAAAGGATTTTCCGGAAGAACCCTTCGCAATGCTTTCGGGAATATCTGAACACCCATCTGGCTCATCTGGCAGCCCCATCAGGCAAACATCCCCCAACCCCGACTTCATCATAGCGTCTCCCGCATTCAAGGCCTTCCTGGCACGGATTGCTTGAAGCGGACATGAGCGACGACCTTTCAGGACACCGCCACCTGGTTCTTTCGGATTGCGACCGCTGCTTGGGGGATCACCAGCTTTGGTCAACGGCCCGGTCCGGCTCGGTCCGGCTCGGTCAGAGGTCTGACCGTACCGATCCGAGCAAACATCTTTCTCCAAATGCCGAGTGAAAAGGCTTAATGGTCCTTGATTACCAAGTCTCCAAGGTGTTTCAAGGTCTTTTGACTCTTGATGTATTCAAAAAAGAACTCCAATTGAATTGAAACACCTCTTCATATGGGGGGTTATGGTCCTCAAGAGTCTACATTAGGAGCTTCAAGCTCCATGACGCCTTTGTGGAATCAATAGTTCTTGGAGGGAGTTCTGCAGGTTTTCCATGATTCCATGATCAGTGGATGGGTCTAGCCAAACCACTTCAACTTGCACTGGAAATTCAAGCCATTGTCCCATGTCCGTCTTCCTGACAAATCTCTACCGGCAAATGAGGTGCAAAAAAAAATCAAGCATGCTGCACCTGCAAGCCCCCAAAGACCTTAGAGGCTAAGTTGTGTATGATGACATGGAACACAACGGTTTGCAGAATGGGCACTTATATAGTCCCAATCTCATCCAAACCAAATGAACATTTTCTGGTACTCTTGCTCCACCCATCGACACTGCAACTGTTTTCGGCGTGAAGTTCCAAAGGAAACACATGAAAAACACAATGCACCATGGGCAGCAGCCCACGGGTTATACATGGTTTGGTTTGGAGGCTTCCCAATGATGCCCGCAGTGCTGCCCACCAAATCCCACCAAGTGCAACTTGAATAAACAACAATCCAACTACCACGCTTACTCATGTTTTTCAACAAGTATTGATCCTGTGCTTCGTCCTCGCAAGGGGTCGCTTCCGCTTCTTCTTCTTCTTCTTGTTCTTCTTCTTCTCCACGTTCTCCGCGTGTTTGTCGTGTTTTCTTCTCACTGCCTGCGTCTGCGGAAGCTGAGCCACCTGCGGCTCGCGGCCGCCTGATCCTCGTCCTTGGGATCACCGCTGCAGCAGGGCATGCGGGGCACACGGGTCGCCCGACCACGCATCAACTTCCTCAGTGGTTGGCGAAGGGCGATAGTTCTGCCTATCCAGGGTGACCAAACCATTCCGAATCGTAGGGGGCCAAGCACCTGCTACTAGAGAATTTTTGCAATTTTTTGGGTGTGTTTTTTTCAAAAAAACGTTTTTCATGACCGTCTTTCCACTCCTTGGGCCAGAGTCGCATGGAGTTCAAGCTAGCTCATGGAGTTCCTGGAGGGGGTGGGTTCGGGGGGTGTTACTCCAACCTTGGTCTTCAACCCTTGATTTGCTGAAGAACAATCAAGATGACAAGCAAGCATCAAAGCAAGGAAGAACACCCTAGAAGTCCAAAGACTATGTTTTGACCGGCTGAAGCAAAGGAACTTCCCTTTCAGGTGCCCTAAAGACCATTCTATTTTATAGTCTTTGACTCCCAGGGAACGCAAAAAAAAGCATATAAGCATATAAGCTAGTAGCAAGAGCTTGGGGAACTCCCATGGGTCGCTCTAAGTTCTGGCTCCCTGAACTGGGGAAGAACTGGATACCCCATGATACCCCCCTCCTCAGCTCTAAAGGGTTAAATCGTGGTATCCAGCCCCTCGGTGCCCAGCATCCGGTTGAGTTGCGCATCTCTTATCCGACCAAAACCTTCCGGAGTTGAGCTAGAATGCTAAAGCAGGTGTTAGGTGAGCTGAATCAGATCATCAGACCATCAGACCGCCTGGAGTTCTTCATCCCAAGACAAGACGACCAAACCAGCTTGCTTTCTTCACACATCGGACGGCGAGGTCCAATCGAAGACCGCACCAGCACCGGTCGGTTACGCGTGAAAACGCGTGCGTTCCGAAGAGCGGAAAGCCAAGCAACATCGTGGTCTTGAGCTTTGCCTGACGCTCAGCCAAGTGGAAGCTCGAAATTCTCCTTGGCAACCAAAGGCAAAAAAAGCTGCAGGTCTGTTGGTTTTTTTTTGCCGGATGGGTGCGGATTTGGATGTTGATGCATGTTGTATGAGACACGCAGCATGGAAAACACGCATATATAACATAAACTTGCTAGATGTGCAAATTTGGGCGAGTGTCCCCAGTCCATCCCAACGAAGGATGTAAGATCGATCTCCACTGACTTCCCTCCGTGCACACATGTTCATAGGAAATGAATTCATCTGTTCCGCTCTGGCACTCTAGAGACAAGTCAAGGAATGAGTTCCTGCATCGAATGGCCAGGTCCAATATCTACCTCATGAACTCTACATGCAAATTGCGACCCTTCAGTCAAGATTGAAAGGAATTAGGATGCCTGGCGATGCCTGAAGTGGACTCTTCAAAATCTTTAAAGTAGAACATCGATGAAGCATGAACCATGAAACTGAGGACGTGGTCCTGCAAAATTCAGGATCCAAAAAACATCAGAAACGATCATCTGCTCTCCGAGTGTCCGCTTCAGTGCCTGCTTGGCATGCTGCGCCGCGTGGTGAGCCGCATGCTGCGCGGCGTGCGCCGCATGGTGCGCTGCATGCGCGGCGTGCTGCGCCGCGTGAGAGGGGCTGAAACCACCTCGGAGGCTTCCCCCTGGGATCGTCCGTGCCTTCACAGAAGGTACGAGTCCAGTCGCTCCCCAAACCGCGCCGCGCCTCAAAGTGTCTACAATCACGGTACCTCAGAGGGTGTGGATCCATAAGGGTTCCCTGGAGCAAAATTCAGAGTGAGGTCCTGCTTTGCAGAGGTCCGGGAAGCTGGACGCTGTCCGGCTGGGTGTCGATTGAAGGCACTTGGGAAAAAGGAACAAAACTATAACAACATCTTCCCCCAGGTATGGAGATTTACAGTAACAAAAGGGAAGAATAAAACATCCACAAAACCAGGATCTTCACAATTGTGGTGGACTCTGGGAACGGAGAATCTATCAATTCCATGATCAGTCTATACCAAGTCTCGAAACCGTCCCCGAGGCACCAGCATTACTAGGTCTGGCTGGCTTTGCCCAGTCTTTCGAACGGGCAGTGAGCCCCAAAACCATACCCGCAATATATGAATTAAGTTATATAAGTACACATAGGAGCAAGGACGCTACTAAGGGCTCCTGGCCTTACTACTAGTAGCATTCTTACTACTAGGAACAAGAAGCTACTAGGGGCTACTAGGGGCACTCGCACGTCCCCTGCACGCGTCACCCGGAATCCACCGACGCGCAGGACCGCCCCCACCGGCGGTCCCAAGCGCCGAAGCGCCCGACGTACATCAGCCACGCGGCCCATGGTGCTCGGAGAGAGCGCGGCCTCCTCCTGCACCTGAGGCACCGGCAGCACCAAGAAATGGAGTGGTTTCAGAGGTTCGATAGTGAAAATGATGTCATGTAGTCATACTAAATCTTTGCTCTGACTTGGACCCCTTTGGATTGAGAAAAAAAGCTTCTCAACCATTGCTTCACTCCCGGCATCCGGAGAAAAAACACGCACGGTGAAGCACCCCACGGGTCTCCCGGAGCTCCGCTTTCGCTCCGTTTCGGTCTTTTCGGGCTCAGAAATCACCGGATCCACCGATCTGGTGCGGAAGGGGAGGGAGGAGCCCGTTGGAGGTGGAGATTGTCTTCAAAAATTGGTCATTCATGCGAAAATGCAAGATGATGCAAGGGAAGAGGATAGGTCACCTTGAAATCACAATGTTTTCATGACATGTTCCCTGTCGTGGGGGTGGTCACCTCGAAAATCATTCTGCAGCTCTCCAAGGCCGGTTCCGAGACGTTTCGGGAGCCCGGGAGGTTTTCAAATGGCACGTCCAGGACACCCCAGGTCAAGGTCTTTTAGATGGAGCTTGATTTGAACCTCTAATACCACCCAACTTGGGGATTGCTCCCACCTACTTTCAATGGGAGTCCCACCCCCCAAAAAAACACACACACAGAACTTGGCGATTGTGCCCATCTAGTCTCAATCCACGTCTAGATTTCTCAGCCACACTGGCAAAAAAACGACAAGTAGAACACCCGAGACTTGACCCATCCAAAAAGAAGCATACAAGCGACATATGTTAATAATGATTATATATATATATTGATCAAACACATGCTATCTTTGCTTTTTAATTGCTTAAGCGGATGGACGCGCCAAGACTAACCATGACCCGACAGACGACTTCACTGGAGACTCGACCCGACCCGGCGAACTGAAGCTTCGTGAAACGACTCGCTGCCTGGTCTTCTTCGACCTCCTCGTCAGAGATCGCATCGTCACGTAGACGCCTGCTGCAGAGAGTTGGGAGTCGCCCAAGCATTTTGGGACGCCACTGCAGGAGCATGCCAGAGCGTTGCTTGGTGCGACGAGATGGTTTCGGTTTGCGAGATGGGTTTTCATCTTGTAGAACACGTGTTGAGAGATGCTTTTTTAGAGGGATGGTAACCTCCCTCCAACCCCCCGGTTTCTGGATACCACACTGGAGGAACAAACCTTTTTTCACCAGTCCGGAAACAAGCAGCTTGGTTACACCTTTTTTTGAGGTCAGGCGTTCATCTCATTTACTCATTTACTGCTTATCATTGTAGGATTCCCGCTATAGCTTTTACATGCTTTTACGGGACTTTACAGGGATTCCTTGTGGTTCCTTTAACCTCAACTTAGATTTACTTGAGGAGCCGGGCAAAACATAGAACATCTTCACCAGGTATGGGTATTTCAATTGGGTTTAACCAGTTCGGGAAAACATCACCTGATCCAAAACCAAGTCAAAGATGTGTTTTTTGGACTCTGCAGCGTTGAACGGAGTCAAGACTCCGAGGTGAAGCCAAGCCAACCAGCGGCAAATGTGGTTGAGCAATGTCGACATAGGATGAATCATGAAGGAAGCCATTTAATCAATTAATCGTAATTAACCCAAAATACGTAACAAAAAACATAAGCACCATTTAGCAACCATATGATAATTATGGACATCATTGCTCTCCCCTCATCATTTTGAAGGGGGTCATCATGGCTCATGGAGCAGGACACTCATGGCGTTTTTCAACGCGCCTGTGCTCTAAAAAGCGCTTCTTGGCGTTGGATTGGAAGCGCTTCATCTTTCGCAACTCCAGCCTGAGAATCCGCCGTCCGTCGGTCGGTCACCCCCAAACACTCCATTCGATGGTAGTACTAGTAATACACCTGGACCTTCAGTACGTGACCTCTGACTGTTCGTCTCTGTTTGTGACCTCTTTAGGGACTATATACGTGACCTCAGCCACTAGGATCTCATTCTAGGTCACGTACTGGTCGGTCCTGGCATGGTATACATGGATCTCTCAAACCACACCAGTTCGGTGAATCTTCCACCAGTTCCTTGGAGTGTGCCTTGGCGCCTGGCCAGGGACATGTGTATGTCGATGTCAAACAATGACACAGTAACTACGGTGGATTGAGAGGTTCGATGGCACTGGCACCCCAGTCGATGTCTTTGATATAGGGGTCCATATAAACCACCGAACTTGGGGATTGTGCCATCTACTCTCAACCCACTATAAATGTCTCTGACATCAACTGAAACCCACCCAAAGGGCTTGATCAAGTATTCAAATCCACCCCAAAAAGTAGTCACCACTGGATGTGTTGCCTCTAAAGGATCAAAGCCGTGTGCTTGGCAAATTGTGCTATTTGCACTGCAACCCAGAATCGCATTATCTATCTCAAGGGAAGTTTTTGGACGTACTGTGGGAAAGTTGGACCGGAGGCTACAGTGGCGTCGTGCATGGTACAAAACGCATGCTCCAAAGATGTACAAAGCCACATCGATGGTGATAAAGGAAGGGATGCCCTGGCAACACCTGTTGGTGTTGCTTCTTGCTTCTGCTTCTTTGTGGCCTTCATCTTGACAGCCAGACGCAGCCGATTTTGACATCTGACCCATCCCCCAGTGGGTCAACGACCTTCGCGTCGCTTGGAGCATTCGAAGGTCGGCCCCCGCCGAATGCCCGGTGCCCTGCAAAGATCGAAATACTCCTCGATCAGTGCAGGTGGCAACACTCCTCAAGCTGCTAGATTGGCAGGTGGCTACCTCTGTCTGGGACCATCTTTCACCATCCACATCCATCCAGCTACCAAGACACCAGCCGCGCACACCTGGCGCATTCGGCTCCAGGTCTGCCACGCAAAAGTCCACGAAGCCTCGCATGTCTTCAGTCTCAGTGGCACCCGAAGAGATCAGTGGACAATGCTTAAGGTCCCGACCAAACAGTCGGCCCCCTGGAAGATGTGGAAACCAAACCAGCTAGGGTGTACGAGTAGCAAAGACCGGCCAACTCGGATCCACACGATGATCCCTGACTGGCGTGCAGGTTTGGGGCGCCGATCGGTCCAAAGTCATTCCGTTGGATTGGCCGAACCTGGAAACATCTCCTCGGGATTTGAACCAGATAGGGGGAACATCATCTTAGGTTAAAAGCCAGGTGACCCAGATACTACAGATTTTGCGCGGTTGTCAGTTACTTTTAGTCCTTTTTGCCTTCGTTTCTTCCTGGTCTTTCCCCCGATCCGGCTGCATGCGAATGGGACCGCGTGGGACACTTTCACCGCCTCTTTGTTTGGTGCCTGTCACGTGACGGACAACGCTTCTGATTGCAGATGCCATACACGACTAATGAGACTGCCATATATGCCGCCCCATTGACCCCCCTGGCACCACCCAAACTGATCGGCGGCACACATGGAGTGGGTTTGCCAAGTCCAAAGGACTCCTAGAAAGGAAAGATCTTTATACACATATCTTTACATGCAGGACTTGAAATCAATGATCTGCCACCAACCAAAACAAGAATCACATCTCTGCGGTGGATATAAAGTTGTGACTCCTTAGTGTATAGATCCTGTACAAATTTGCCGAACAACTGACTGGAATTGAACCCAGTACCCCAAAACCAACTGGGAAACAGCTGGAAGTTTCCCTGACCATCTGGGCTTGAAAACTCTCACCATCTCAGCGAGCCGCGTCTTTTTCTATCCTCTAGGCAGGTGCTTCGATTACGAGGCTGACCGGTGCAAAAGCTTAAGTCGCAGTTGCCCCAGATCATTCCCTCTGAAACCAAATTTGGGCCCCGCTTCAAAGGGGTGCAATCTTGCCCGGGATGGTTGGATTTCGGGCTAGCAAACTAGCCCTGCTGTCACTCTTCACAACCATACTGGAAAACCAGATCCTCAGTCTACAAAACATGCCTGATCGTCGCCATCTCCCGGCAAAATGGCCAAACTGGCCCTCAAAACGGTGTCTCCTTGCGCTTGGAGATGTACTCCTTCAGCTGGGGCAAAGCATCCGTCGCCTCCAGGGCGGCCTTCAACTTGGGGCAGTTCTGGAAGGCCGCCTTCGCACCCTCCGCGTTGTCAAAGAAGCAACCTGCAAAATGGGCTCGTGACCCACCTGGAGGCTGTTCCACCATGCTGGGAAGGACCGGGTCACCACCTAGGTCAACCAAGGTATATAAAACACATCCCCAACACTCCATGGGACTGCCATATAAGCCTCCTGGAGCCACATGGCTCGTGACCCACCTCGCAGTCCACGACCCGACCCGATGGGCGAGCGACTGGAGATATCCAAATCTTGTAAAACCAACCTTCAGG